TTGGCGCCTTCCTCTTGGTCGATGGACCGCTGTTGCTGCTCGTCGAGTGGATTGGTAACCGTTACCGTTGATGATACGTCAGGCGGGTCACGTAACGCTGTTAGCGCATCTGCTGCACCACGTTCAGGGAACGGATTCGGTGCATGACGAGTGTCATCTTCACCCGTGAGGGTGGCTAAAGGGGACCCATCGGGTCCCACAAAGACGGTGTCACTTTCGTAATCAACCGCTTCGTCAAGGTCGTCCTCAATGAGGTCCCTAAGAGTGTGTGACTCACTGCCGGGAGGCGTCATGTTGTGTGCCGTGAACAAACCGTGAGGTTTTAAAAGTTCGCTAAAGCACTACCTCTATGAGGAAAGATGTCGAGTGACATTCTATGGGAACGTCAGTCTGGTGGGGGAGGGTGTAACGGGGTTACACGACGGTTGTAACGTCTTTCCGAGAGTTTACGCTTAAACTCTCCTTTGTATTGCATATAATGCATTATTATACTTCTCGTTAGAGAGGTATTAAGTATGAGCGTTAAGATACGGTATTCGGTAATACCGTATCTTACTGATTAGGATTCGATAAATCGATAACGCTCCATTAAGTACATCATACACAGATGTTAAGACGATACGTCGTTCAATAGCAAAGTCTGCATATAATAACTACTATTATAGTAATTAATCTAGTGTAGTGTACTTAAAGTAGGACTATTCATAATATCTTAAAGCATAAATAAAATCAGTTCTCCTTTTGAGTTTAAGACCACAAGTCGTTCTGACTTGTTCTCTTGTGCACTTCGTGCGTTGGTTCTCTGAACCCTAAGCTTCTAGCTTGCTCTTGCACTCTGTGCGTTGGTTCTCTGAACCTTAAGCTTATTGCTTGCTGACTAAGAGTCCCTCCTACTTCCTTAGAAGAGGGTGACTTTAACGTCGAATACTTAGTTCCTTAGAACTAAGTGGCTTTTAGCCTTAACTCTATTTAGTTCTCTCGAACTAAGAGGCTTCCAGCCGAAAGTCTTCCTCTGGCTAAAGAGCTGTGCAGCTCCGCTACACTACGTGTCAACACCTACGTAAAGCGACCTGATATTTAAAGGAAAGTGATACATTTAATCACTGTCAGCGTAAAATTTGTGCACCTATCCGTCGGAAAGACGGGTCAACACCATTACTTATTTGCATTAACGTAAGCACATTTTCACCATTGTTATATCAATTAGGAATTTTTTAGGAGGTATACCAATCTATTTTGTCGGACATCCATCTATAGAAATGGATATCATGACTGAAATTTGTAAGGTAATTTTATATAATTACTACGTCCATCATGCTATAATAATGAACAGAAATTTTTACGGAACGCGTGTACACATTAAGCTTAAGACCCATAACTTTACAGTGTCAACCGGATATTCTAAAAAACAGGAAATGGGTACGAACATTTATAGGCACCATGTCCGTCGGAACGACGGGTGAACACCCTGAATGGTACAATATGCTATCAGCGTAGAGTTCGCCGTCATTTCCGTCAGAGCGACAGGCACACACCCTAGCAGCGTCGACTTCGCGCAGCGCTCCATCGAAACAACGTGATATAAAATCAATAAAGAAACGAATTTAGTATTTTCGTAGACTTCGCGTACTAAATTCGCGTAAATGACAGGTAAACACCCTAGCAAATCGCTGCGTTTAAGATGCCTATATATGCAACTTTGTACCGTTGGAGCGACGGGTGATCAAATGAAAAATTGACGAATTGAGGGGTACACATTGATTTTCGTATCCATCTTTACCCTAAGTCAATCTAATTATCTTACATAAAATGATGGGTTTACAGGTCAAAAGGTAGACCATGTTTGTTGAAACGACGGTTGAACACCCCAACTTTCGAAACGACAGGTATACATTGACCTTCATACACATTACCTCTTAGAAATAATCAATCACCTATGTCAATATACGATCAGCGTCAAATTTGTGCACCTATCAGTCGAAACGACTGGAACACCCCTCCTATACATGTATTAATAATGGCATTAAAACCATGTCCGTCGGAACGACGGGTAGATACCCTCGTCTATATAATAAAAGAATACTGTCTGTCCGTTTGATCCTTTTCCGGCATTCGGATTGGCTATTTTTGCATTATTCGCTAATTTTGGATTGGCTGACTATGCCTTTTTGGCTCATTTTGCAATGGCTGACTTTGCATGTTGCACTATTACTCCGTCGGAACGACGAATACAAATTGACCTTTGGAACGACAAATATACTGTGCTCTTCTTACACATTGACTATCACCTATATTTATTTACTTAAGTAAACTGGATATATAATGAGGTATAGCATGACTGAAATAATATTGTAAGATGTAAAGAAGACCAATAGATGTGGGTCAAAGTTTAAGGTTTTGCAAGATATCTGTAGGACATCTAATAAGACAGGTAGACATTGACCAGTGTCGACATGTACACCTTAACTTTCAGACACCTTGACTTTATTATACATTGACTTCATAGGTAGCAATCACCTGATTTAACCAAATATATATAAGTAAAATGATAGGTCAATATACTATCCACGTAGAATTCGCGCACCTATTTGTCGGAACGACGGGCACCATCCACAAGCTGCATACAGGTTCAAGTAGCAGCACAACAGCTAATTGATACACCGACTTTCATTCCTTTATACAGTATAAAATATTTATATTTAAATTGCGCGCACTTGGTCTGTCGAATCTAAGGGTACATATTCCTTGCGAAGCGCTACGTTTAATATGTTTCTATACTTTTAGCGTCAACTTCGCACGAATGGCCGTCGGTACGACGGGTGAACTATTAGCAATTTGTCAGCATGACGGTGGAACACACTAACAGACATAGGCTGATGGAACCATGATGATATCATCCATCGATTCACCGGGTACAGGCATCATTTAAAAATAAATGACTGTATATTAACGCGTTATAGAAATTCGCTAATGGGTACCCGATGGAACGAAGGGTTTACATTGGCCTGAGTACTGACTTTGGTAAATACCCTAGTCTATATAATAAAAGAATATTGTATGTCCGTTTGATCCTTTTCCGGCATTCGGATTGGCTATTTTTGCATTATTCGCTCATTTTGGATTGGCTGATTATGCATTTTTGGCTCATAACGTATTGGCAGAGTTTGCATATTGCACTATTACTACAGTTGCAGATATCCATATTATAGAATTAATGTGTCGTGCTTCTATCTATAACATTAATTTACAAAACAATGGCACACATACGTGTTCATATCCATCACTACATATTGCAATATCAAACGCAGCTTTTTTAGATTATAAAATGAGACACATTTCTAATTTTTCTTTATCAAAACACGGGTTCAGTCCTTAACAGCTCAGTCCTCAAATACACTTTATACCTTGGCATTGGCAAAATCAAGCGTTGTCATCCAGTTGAATTGGAATCAGTTACAATAAGTAAAATGACCCATCTGTATTGTGTCTTACTTATTTAGATTCCTAGATCAACCAGATGTTGTAAAGTAAAAAGATGGGTACGAATGTCAAAAGCAGGCTTCACGCACCGTGTCCGTCGGAACGACGGGTACAAATTGACCTTTGGAACGACAGGTACACTTTGCTCTTCTTACACATTGACTATCAACTATATTAATTTACTTATTTAAACTGGATATATAATAAGGTAAAATGGTGGGCCAATATGCTATCAGCGTAAAATTTGCGCACCCATATGTCGGAACGACGGATTAAGATCCTAGACCTCAGTATCAAAAAGCTGCATATAATTTGAAAATAGCATGAAAAAAGCTGACTGACACACCAACATTCGATCCTTTTCATGTCATTAATTTTATATTTATGGTCCGCTCGGACCTTTCCGTCGCAGCGATGGCTGAACACAACTACTTATTTGCATTAACGTAAGCAGATTTCCATCACTTATATTTTTAATTAGTAATATATATCAGGTTTAGCGATAAACTCTGTCGGACTTCCATCTATAGGAGTGGGTTGTTGACTGAAATTTGTACAGTAAAATCGATATGAAAACTCCGTCCATCATGCTATGTAAATAGACAGAATAGAATCGGAACGACGGGTACATATTGAATTTCATATCCATCACTTTACTGAGTCAACCGGATATACTAAGGTAAGCAGATGGGTGCGAACTTTTACAGGCAGATTTTACACACCGTTTCCGTCGGAACGACGGGTGAGCATCCCTATGTTAAGATATATGGTGGGCCATGGTACTATCAGCGTTGAATCGCGCCCCTATCCGACGGAACAAATGGGCACTACCAAAAGCTGCACACAGGCAAAAAGTTGTATTAAGAATTATTGATAGACATAGAATAAATTACATACGGTCCTGTATACATAATTACATCTGTCTATTCGGTCGGCACGCTACTATCCGTCGGAACGACGAGTGCACATTGAACCTCATACCCATTACTTTACCTTAACATCGTAAGGTAAAATGTTGGATTCGAAGGTCAAAAGGCAAACTTTAGTCACCATGTCCGTTAAAACGACGAGTACACATTGACCTTTATATCATCATTTTAATGTAGTCAACCAAAATGGTAAAACGATGATATAAAGGTCAGTATATTACCAGCGTCGACTTGCGCACCATATCCGCTGGAATGACGGGTATTCATCCTAGCAAATTGAGGCGTTTATGTTGATATTTCACCGCTGAATGCATGTTGGACAGGCGAATGGCGTTATATGATATCATATTCGTATCCTGACGTTTCAGGATACGGATATGATAAAGGCCAATACCTGAAAGGACATGAAGATATTAACGGACATATCTAGATGACGTCAGTAACAAAGATCTGACGAGGAAAGGCTTAGATGTAGCTCAAGGTAGTGAACTAAGGACCAAATATATTTACTTCACAATTTGCCTTCTTCTACATATATCAATTCAACAGGTTAACAGCCGCAAGACGCTCAAGAACAACTTCGCCGCTCCCATGTCTGCGAAAAGGGCTGAAGTCATCCTTGGGAGCGACAATTACTTCTACTGGGAGTTTGTCATGCGAATGACGCTGGCGAGAAAGGGACTGCTAGCACACATCCAGATGGTCAAGCCCGAAGCTGAGATGACTGAAGCGTGGGTGATTAATGACATGAAGGCACTGGGATTGATTGCTCAAGGCATTGCGGTGGAGCATCACACCAAGATTCGGTCGGCAACGACGGCTATCCAGGCATGGATTACGTTGCGTGAGTTCTACAATCGTACGACCATGCACAATCGGGTGACGATGACCCGCCGTCTTCATGATTTTTAGATGGACGACGGCGTGACGATGACCCAGCATCTGGACAAGTTCGATGAACTTATTGTTGGTCTCCAGTCTCTGGGAGAGCCAATTGACGAAGCGCGACAGCTCGTGGTTTTGCTCAGCAGTCTGCCTGCAGAGTACGAGATCATCGCGTCGATCGTGGAGAACACCAAGGACGTCACTCTCATTGAGGTAAAGGAGAAGCTTCTTAAGGAGTATGAGCGACAGGACAAGAAGGAAGCCACGGAACGCGCGCTAAAGGCTACAACACATGGGATCAAGTCGAAGAACGCAAGGTTCGACAAGAGCGGAAGGAACAATGGACGCAAGGACAACATCTCGAGGAAACGAAGTGGGTTCAAAGGCAAATGCTTCAACTGTGACAAGTTCGGTCACATGAAGCGGGACTGCCCGGACTTTAAGGGGCCTGGCAAAAATGAAGAGGACGCTGTTTTCGCTTCCGGGGAGAGTCGATCATCAGGGTGGCTGATCGACAGTGGTGCAACGGCACACATGACGCCGCACCGAGAAGACTTGTTCGACTACAAAAACCTAGTGACAAGCATTGAGGTGACCATCGCGGATGGAAAGAAGATCCGTGTGGTAGGAACCGGATCGGTGCGATTAACGGGCATTGACGGCAAGCGCATTCGGATGTTAGATGTTCTCCACATCCCTGGCCTGGATCGACGACTACTATCGGTTGGCAAGCTTGCAGAACGCGGACTCAATGTTGAGTTCGAGCGCACATCATGTATCATTTGGAACAAAAAGCAAGCCATCGCCTCGGGGAAAAAGGTCGGCAAGGCCTACATACTAGAATGTCAGCAGGAAACGGCGCAATACGTGGAATATTCGGACGTCGATAGCAATTATGATCTTTGGCACGCTCGTATGGGTCACTTGAACAAGGACGCGCTGGAAAAAACGCAGCGTGTGACGACTGGTATTCCAATTACCAATTTCAAGACGAAGGCGCTATGCAGTGGATGCTTGAAAGGCAAGCAAACGGTGACACAATTCCCATCTCATTCACAGACGAAGACGTCTCGTGTTCTGGAACTTGTGCACACGGACGTAATGGGACCGATGAAGACGAGATCAAAAGGTGGCGCAAAGTATGTGCTTACCTTCGTTGACGACTACTCAAAGTACGTTGTGGATTACTTCCTTAAGAAGAAGAGCGAAGTGCCGAGAAGATTTGAGTCTTTTAAGACCATGTACGAGAATCAGTGGGGAGGGCGCATCAAGTGTCTACGTTCTGACAACGGCACTGAGTTTGTAAACAAGGCCATGGATGAAATCTGTCAGCGTAACGGAATTGTTCATCAAAAGACTGTACCATACAGCCCTCAACAAAATGGAGTGGCTGAGCGGATGGACCGAACGATTATGGGGAAGGCACGGAGCATGATGCACTACAAGGGTGTATCTACTTCCTGGTGGGCAGAGGCAATTAGCACGGCAGTGTACTTAGTTAACCGGCCAACAAATAGCACACACACTGACGCGACTCCATACGAGATTGGATTTAAGATGAAGCCTCGACTAGATCACTTGCGAGTGTTTGGATCAATTGGTTATGCTCATGTCGACGACTCTAAGCGCACCAAGCTCGAGCCAAAAAGCTTCAAGTGTATGTTTCTTGGCTATGGGGTCAATACGAAGGGCTATCGCGTCTATGATCTGGAGCTAAATAAAGTCAAGATATCAAGATCAGTGAAGCTCGACGAACGCGAAGTGAATGGAATTTATAGCACGTCGACGATGACAGAAAAGACTGAAGTCATCAACGTGATAAAGGACATCGAAGAAGTGGCTCAGCCGGAAAATGAGAAGGAACATCCTGTGGAGGATGAACCAATGGAATCGACAGCGGACCCATTTGAAGACGTCGAGATGCAAGAAGATGAACATGAGCCTATATCATCAGGAAGAGAATTAACGACATATCATCGACAACATGAGTTAACAGCAAACGGTGACATGGTTTTCAGGCCCGAAAGGGAACGATCTAGACGTCCAAGAGAACCATCACTTCTTCTTGGGAATGGATTGATTATGGCTGACGAGAACACAATGAATAGCGACGATGATCCTGACAATGACGATCATTTCTATCCGCCGTCACCCAAACGACCTCGTATTGATGAAGATAACCTGCTTGCAGAAGCTGTACTAGCATATGCGGCAAGTATTGGTGATGCAAATGATGCACCGACGACATATCAGCAAGCCATGGACAGCGACGAAGTCAAGGAATGGGTGAAGGCTATGAGCGCTGAGCTTAAAGCTCATTCGGAAAATGGTTCATGGAGTCTTGTCCCGAAGATGAAGAACGTCCGAATAATCGGATGCAGGTGGGTATTCGCTAAAAAGCGCAACGAGCACGGACAGGTGGTGCGGTACAAGGCCCGACTTGTCGCAAAAGGATTCAAGCAGAAGTTCGGTGTCGATTTTTTTGAGACGTACTCACCCGTAGCAAACATGAACTCGATCAGGCTCGTGCTGGCTGTGGTGGTGGCGAAGGGATACGTGACCGAACAGATGGATGCAGACACGGCGTTTCTAAACAGTGATCTCAAAGAAGAGGTGTACATGGAAGTACCTAATGGCATAAAAATGCTGAAAAGATGATGTGCAAGCTAGACAAGGCAATTTACGGACTCAAACAAGCTGCGAGTGCATGGAACAAGACTATCCATTCTGTGTTCCTGCAAATTGGTTTTCAAAGCAGTGGAGCAGATCAGTGTGTCTATGTCAAGGTCAACAATGGCAGCTTCGTCTATGTGTGTCTTTACGTCGACGACATGATCATCGCTGCCAAGACCAGTAGAGAGATCCAGGAAGTCAAGAAAGCACTGAAAAATTCGTTTAAGATGAAGGAGCTCGGTGACGTCAAGTTTATTCTAGGTATGGAGATCGATCATGATCGTAACGACAGTACGCTGATGATTCGTCAGACTCGCTATATCGATGACGTGGTCTGCCGGTTTAACCAAGATGAAGCCAAGGCAGTTGTCAACCCATGCGAGTCTGGATTGAAGCTATCAAAGATACAATCACCAGCTACGGACGCTGAAAGAGAAAAAATGCAGTCGAAGCCGTACAGGTCGTTGATTGGATGTCTGCTATACATCACAACATGTACGCGACCTGATGTGGCGTATATAATCACACAGTTGTCACGTTTTTTGGAAAATCCTGGTCAACAACATTGGAAGGCTGCCATTCGTGTTCTTCGATATCTCAAGACTACAAGAGACTACGGCATAATCTACGACGGCATCGCAAGCGAGGTCCAAGCAACAGCATACACGGACGCGGACTGGGGAAGCAACATCGACGATCGACGCTCGGTTTCAGGCATAATGGTGATGATTGGTGGCGCACCAGTCGTGTTCAAGTCCAAGTACCAGCGCACTGTGGCATTGAGTTCGGCAGAGGCGGAGTATATGGCCTTAAGCTTTTGTACCCAGGAAGTACTGTGGGTCCGCGCGATGCTCAAGGATCTCGGTCATGAGCAAGTGGGAGCGACTTTGGTCTATGAAGATAATCAAGGTGCGATTGGGCTTGCAAGCAACTCAGGATACAATGCCAGGACCAAGCACGTCGACATCCGTCACCACTTCATCCGAGAGAATGTGGCTCAAGACATTATTGTGGTCAAGTACAAGTCAACGGTGGACCAGCTGGCAGACATGTTGACCAAGGCACTAGGGACGAAGCGACTTAAGTACTTGCTTTAAGCAAGTGGAATCGGACCAAGGCGCAGTCAGCATAAGCGGTTAGTGGGAGTGTTGATATTTCACCGCTGAATGCATGTTGGACAGGCGAATGGCGTTATATGATATCATATTCGTATCCTGACGTTTCAGGATACGGATATGATAAAGGCCAATACCTGAAAGGACATGAAGATATTAACGGACATATCTAGATGACGTCAGTAACAAAGATCTGACGAGGAAAGGCTTAGATGTAGCTCAAGGTAGTGAACTAAGGACCAAATATATTTACTTCACAATTTGCCTTCTTCTACATATATCAATTCAACAGTTTAACATGCCAATATATTCTACTTTGCACCATCAGAACGACGAGTGAACACCATAAAAGAGGTGAGTCGATGAAACATGGTGCAATCGTCCATCGATTCGCTAGGGTGCAGGCATTATCTAAATGTAAATGACTGTATATTAGCGCGTTCCAAATATTCGTGAATTTGTACCCGGCGAAACGACGAGTTACATTGACCTGAATACACATTGACTTTAATACCTATAAATTTACCCAATTTGACCTGATATTCTAAGCAAAGTGAATCACCAGTATACATGTATCCGTCGGAACGACGGGCACACACCCTAGTCTATATAATAAAAGAATACTGTCTGTCCGTTTGATCCTTTTCCGGCATTCGGATTGGCTACTTTTGCATTATTCGCTCATTTTGGATTGGCTGATTATGCATTTTTGGCTCATTTTGCAATGGCCTATTCTGCATTTTTGTTTATAATGACATGTGCAGATATCCATATTAGAGTGTCCAGGTGTCGTGCTTCTATCTACAAAATGAATATACTAAACGATGGCAACACATTAATGTTCATATGCATCATTACATGCTGCATAATTTATATAAAAAACGACGGCACACATAAATATTCATATGCATCATTACATATTGCAATATCAAACACTGTTTTTTTAGAATAGTAGATAAGACACATGCTTTCGATTCGTTTTTTATAAACATGGGCTCCGTGCTCAGCTAATACACTTCATCTTGGCAAAAGCAAGCGTAGTTATTAGGTTAAGTAGATTTAATTCCAGTAAGCGAATCGACTCGAATGTAATGCATTATACTTATTCATTAACTTGAGTCAACCGGATATTCTACATTACGGAACGACGGGTTTACATCCACCTTTATACCCATCACTTTACCTTATTAAACCGGATATATTGAATTAAAGAGATGGGTACGAAAATCAAAAGACAGACTTCGCTTACTGTGTCCGTTGGAACGACGGGTACACATTGAACTGCGAAATGACAGATACACATTGGCCGGTGTCGACAGAAAAACTTTGACTTTCATACTTAATGATTTACATATCACAACCGAATATAGTTAAAAAGATGGGTACGAAGATTTTTTCTAGCAGACTTTTGCTCACCATGTTTTTCGGAACGACGAGTGAGCATCCGTATTTTTAGGTAAATGGTGGGCCAATCTACTAGAAGCGTAGGATTGCGCCCCTATCCGTCGAAACGACGGACGCTAACAAAAACTGCACATAGGCTAAAAGTAGCATCAAAACAGCTGTGAAACACACAATGATAATTATATTCGGTCCTTGATGCATAAAAATATGTATATATATTCGGTTCGCGCGCACCAATCCGTTAATCGACGGGCGAACACCCTAGAAAATCGCTGCGTGTTTTAAAGATGCCTACAGTATATATATTACTTTCTTGCACCGTCGAAACGACGGGTTAAAGCACTAGACCATAGTACTAAAAGCTCCATACAAGCTAAAAGTAGCATGAAAAAAGGCTGACTGACTCACCAACTTTTGGTCCTTTCATTTGATTTATTCTGTATTTTTGGTCCGCTCGGACCTTTCCGTCGCAACGATGGGTGAGCACTCTTACTTTTTTCCATTAACGTAAGCAGATTTCCATCAGTATTATTTAAACTAATAATATGTATCAGGTTTAGCAATAAATTTCGTCGGACATCCATCTATAGGAGTGGGTATCATGACTGAAATTTGTATAGCAAAATCTGTATAATACCTCCGTCCATCATGCAGTATAAAAAAATGGAAAATGCACGGAACGACGGGTACACATTTAATCTTATTTCCATCACTATACCTTAGCCGACCCGATATTCTAAAGTAAATTAATTCCTATCTATACTACTTTGCACCGTCGGTACGACGGCTGAACACCCTAAATGGTACATTATGCTATTAGCTTAGAGTTCGCCGTCATTCCCGTCGGAGCGACAGGCACACATCCTAGCAGCGGCGACTTCGCGCAGCGTTCCATCGAAACGACGTGATATAAACTCAATAAAGAAAATATTTTCGTAGACTTCACGTACTAAATTCGCGGAAATGACAGGTAAACACCCTAGCAAATCGCTGCGTTTAAGATGCCTGTATATGCAACTTTGTACCGTTAGAACGAAGGGTGATTAAATGAAAAGTTGACGAAACGTCGAGTACACATTGATTTTCGTATCCATCTTTACCCTAAGTCAATTGAATTATCGAACGTAAGTTAATGGGTTTACAGGTCAAAAGGCAGACCATGTTCGTCGAAACGACGGGTGAACACCTTAACTTTCGAAACGACAGATATACATTGATCTTCATACACATTACACTTAGAACTAATCAATCACCAAAGTCAATATACGATTAGCGTCAAATTTGTGCACCTATCGGTCGAAACGACGGGAACACCCCTATATACGTATTATTAATAGCATAAAACCATGTCCGTCGGAACGACGGGTAGATACCCTCGTCTATATAATAAAAGAAATACTGTCTGTCCGTTTGATCCTTTTCCGGCATTCGGATTGGCTACTTTTGCATTATTCGCTCATTTTCGATTGGCTGATTATGCATTTTTGGCTCATTTTGCAATTGCTGACTATGCATTTTTTATTGATAATTACATGTGCAGACCTCCATAACAGAGTCTCCATATGGCGTGCTTCTATCTATAACACTAATATACAAAACGATTGCACACATACGTGTTCATATTCATCATTACATATTGCAATATCAAACACAGCATTTCTTAGATATATTAGATGAGACACATGCTTTACAATTAGTCCAAACATTGGTTCAGTGCTTTAATAATACAGTTTAAAGTTGGCAAAAGCAAGCTTAGTGATCATATTAGAGTGGATGCAGTTACAAAAAGCGAATCGACTCATATGTAGTGCATCATACTTATTCATTTACCTGAGTCAACCGGATATTCTTCATTACGGAACGACGGGTTTACATTCACCTTCATACCCATCAGTTTCACTTATATGACCGTTTATACGAAAATCGTAAGGCATACTTCGTTAACTGTGTTCGTAGGAACGACAGGTACATATTGACTTTCGAATCGACAGGTACACATTGACCAGCGTCGACAGGTAGACCTTGCCTTTCATACTTATTGACTTCATATGTAGCAATTACCTGACTCAACCAGAATAATAAGTGGGTACGACGATTATTTAACGAATGTTTGCTCACCATGCCCGTCGGAACGACGAGTGAGCATCCCTACTTTAAGATATATGGTGGGCCAGGGTTCTATCAGCGTAGATTCGCGCACCTACCTGTCGGAACAACGGGCACTATCATATAGCTGCACACAGGCAAAAAGGTGTATTAAAAATTGATTGACACACATAGATTAAATTACATAC